AAATTTATATTTTAGAATTAAAAAAAGACTTTCTAACCAAAAATTAAGACCGCCAGAATACCTTCCTTTTTTTATATTAATAAAACTAAATATTTATTTATTTAAAGAATTATACTTTCTTATCAAATTTAACAATATTTTTTCTCCGTTTTATGTCAATTATTAATTCTTACCCTGTAAAAAAATTACTGATCCATGACTAAATGGCCTGTTCCTATTTTTTTGTGCTAGAGTCCCTATATCATATTTTATATGTTGATATTTGATTTATTTTAAAAAATAATGAAAAATCAAAGATATACAGTAAAAAAAAACACACACACAATGCAATAGTCGACATATCATTATCATGTATCAATGTCCCTCGGTGATATCTCTCATGTATAGCATATTAACGCAGCTGATTTTTTCTACTCCTGTAGTCTACCGAAAACATATTATTTTCGGTTCTAATTATAAAACCTCGTTTATAGTTTATAAATTAGATGTTATAATTAGAACTAGAGATAGTATCTAATTGCTTCAGAGTATTGTTCTTTTATTATACGAATTTATAAAATGAATAATTTTCAAAAGCAATTGATAAGGTCAATCATCTTCCTTTTATGCATAGATATATGGAGCATATATTAGTTTGGATAAAAGCTAATTTTATAGGCAACATGATAAACAAGTGGAAATTTATTGTTTTGAAACTAAAAGAGAAGTTGTATAACACTGGAAAATAAAAATAAATAAATTTTTCATAAAAGCACAAATCATTATTCCAAATATGCTATGATAATATCAAGAATAATAAATTCTTACTTTCCTACTACTTCTCCGGTCCTTAATATAAGACTTAATTGTTAAGTTGATTTTGGTCTTAAATATAAGACATATTTATTATATTTATCAATTTTTTTAAAATTACCTTTATGAATACTCCATTAACGATAATCAAGTAGGTGAGGGAGAAATGATATTAAGAAATATGATTATAATGTTTAAAAAAAACACGTCATATTTCTTATAATTAACTAATTTACCTAATTTTTTTTATCTAATCAAATTAGTTAAATAGATATTATATTAAAGACTGAATAAGTGTATTAATTCAAAGTTGAACAGAATCAAACATTTGAGGCCGCTTATGATGCTTCTGCATCATCATCCCCATACGTGTGTGTGATTCCACAGGCTGATTTTATAAAATTGAATTGAAAATGAATATAGTAAACCCACATGTCCGATTTCTGGGCGGGCATTATTTGTTTAGTTATAAAATAAAGGTGACTCTGCCAAGATTCGTTCTATATTCCTAGAAATCCGAACACTTGTTTGAAAACAAATATTAAAGGACTAAAACGCATATTTACTCAAGATTTTTCCTGTTGCTTTTGTAAAATAAATGAACTTTTGAAATAAAGAATTTGACATGTATATTTTAAATGTCGGTCTGGGGAGCGAGCATCGTTCTCACAAGTAATAACCCAAACAACAAATAATTACTCCCCCACTATTTAATACTACCTCCGGTTCTTAATATAATATCCTGTTTGATTTTTATTTTGGTCCTAAATATAAGACTCCAATCCACTATGTCTCTCATATTTATGTATTTTTTCCAATGTAGTCCTTCTAATAATTGTAATTCTAACCAATATAGTTGATTAGTAAGGATATTTTAGGAAAGACAACACCTATTTATTACAAATAACTAACTTAACTTTTTTCCTTAATTTTCTCAAATTAGTCAACTGGGTCTTATAATTAGGATCGGAGGTAGTATATAACTTAATTGAAGAATTAATATTAATCCTCTATATAAGATCTATTTTACATATTTATTATTTTTTTAAATTAATATTATTGATATTTTAAAAAAATCAAGTATGAGAGAAAGCATAAGTACTGAGAAAGATACTTTAGGTATTTTGAAATAAATATTAACTAGTTTAACTAACATATTTAATCTATTCAAATTAATTAATTAGATATTATATTAAGAACTGAAAGAGTAATTTATTTATCTAATCCGCAACAAGAAAACAGAATTTGCGAAATAAAAAAACTAAAGAAAATATAATTGATCATAAATATAATAGACTGTTGCAAAATTTTTGTGACTGATTTGTGAAGTCCTGCACAAAATGAATTACAAAATTTTTGCAGCGAGTTTTGTGTTAAATTTGCGAAAAATATTAAAAATTCTGTTGCAAACTTTCTATTTTAATAGCTTAATTTCGACAATAATCATAAAAAGATAAAAAATATAATTAATATATTTTTTTAATTATGAGACTGCTTTCTGTTTAAAATTTGACCTAGCTAATTAAAAATTACAAAATTATGAAATAATCAAACAACGACAGAATTACAGGAGGGCTTTAACCAAAACGAGGCAGAAAAACCCAAAAACTTTAAGAGTAAAACTATTTTTTTTTAAGGACCTATACACAACTTCATATACATTGAGAAACTTAGTCAATATAACTAAATAATACTTTTAAAATTGAATTCAGTAAAGGTCATTAGTCAGACGAGATGTTTAGTCATTTATAGAGTTGCTTTGCTGCTCAAATAAAATCAAAGCAATGAATATTATATTTAAGGTAAAATTAATATTTCAAACAAACCAATTGGTGAAAACCAATCTATCTCATTTTTTTTAATTTTATCAATAATTCAAAAAAATGTTATTTTATGTTTTTATCTATCTAATAATTGTTTTTATTTAATATCATATATATTTGATGATTTTTTTTACCAACACATATTTTTTGCTAACATATACTCAATAATCTCGGTGATTATTTGTTGGAAAAAAAAAATCTCGGTGATTATTTATGGATAGTAAGTATTAAAGTGGGCCTGTATGAAATTATGTTTGTCTAACGTGTACAAGACCGATATTAATGTATAAGACGGTAGGAATTCATAACCAAAAAATAAACAAAATCAGATATGTTAATGCACGTGGAGTAAACATGCATTAAGCTTATACTCTGATTCTAAATATAAGACCCTTATACATACTAGTATAAGGGTCTTATATTTAGCACCGGAAGAGTATTTTAATTATAAGAAAGAGACCTGCTCAATCTTAAGTGCAATTAACACATGTTTGTGATTATGCCCCTCATCCAAAATTGGAAGAGATGAGGAAATAAAATCAACTTCAAACATAATTAAGAATTGTTAACTTTTTTATGAGCCGTGAAACATTTTCTTTAACGTTATTCGCTTATGATTGAGACTGAAGGGAGTGTGTTTTTTTTTTTCTTCTTGAAACATTGCAGGAGGGAGGGTGGAGACAACCGCTAAGTTCGCTAAGAAGAATTTTAATACAAACCCTGCTGTTTAATGTAATACTAATTAGGAATTAAATTTGAACTTAAATGTAAAATCTCAATTTATTTTGTTTATCAAATTTATAAAAATTTAAATAAATTAATAAATGTGATGTGATTTTTTTAAAATACGTATATATAACATTAGATTATATCTTATTTTGGTTAGAACTATCATTATTATAAAAACTATTTTGAGAAAAATACATAAATATAAGAGATAAAGTAGATTGGAGTCTTAGATATGAGATCAAAATAAAAATTAAATAAAGTCTTGTATTAAAGATATTCTAATTTTTGATTATGGATTTTATGATTTTTGATGGGAGAAAATGGGTATGACTTGTCAAAAAGGTTCCTCATGCCCAGGGAAAAAAAAAGGGAAAAAAGAAAAGACGGGTAAAAGAGGTTGCCCCGGACAAGAGGGGAGGCAAACATGTGGCGACCATTTGTCCTCATGGAGCCGCATCCTGCTCTGAGATTTTGTCGTCCACCCGTGGCGGCGCATCTCTCTTCAAACGGATCTTACCATTTTCAGTACCCGTCCGGTACATTTCGGTATTGACTCGGATTACTAACCCGCCTTCGCTCGGCGCCGACTTACCTGTACGGCCGAGTTTCACAATACAGAGCAATTTATTAATGATTAATAACGCTATGATTCTTTAAAAATGGTTTTTTTTAAACAATTCAAGCACACGCATATTGCCAAAAAAAAAAAGTACACGTATAAGTGATCCAAACAAACACTAAAAAGGTGTTTGACATTACACATAATATTTTTACGTAAATCAAAATAAATTTTTTTATATATTTGTTTTTTTTAAAATTAGGATTTGCTTTTCAAACGTCATTTGAGTTCACAACAATATAAACAATATAAGACAATATAAAGTGAAATGCGTACGGTCGCGGAAAAGATTTGCAAAAGTGGAGAAAATATGACCAGCAAAACTGAGTCTGATATCTGGGCTGGACCGGGGCAAAGTTCCGCTAGAGCAGCTAATATTTTATACTTTTCTCATCCTTAATATAAGATTTATTTAATTAATTTAATTAAATTAAAAAAGTTAGATAAGTTAGTTAATTATAAGAAAAGTGACACATTTTTTCTAAAACAACATAATCATCTTTCTTAATATTCGTTCTCCTTCTTCTACTTGATTATGGTTGAGAGAGTATCTATAGGGATAATTTAGAGAAAATTAATAAATATAAGAAATGAGTTTTATATTTAGGACCGAAACCAACTTAAAACTTGGATCCTATATTAAAGACCGAAAGAGTATTAATATTGAATGATGTTGATATTTTTTTTTTGTACGGACCAACTGAGCTCTTGTCTCACTCTCGCTAAGGCTTCCTATTTCACTCATCAATTTTTTTTAAAATTTTTATTCTTATCATAATTATTTTATTATTGTTTATCGTATTGTTTTGAAACACTTGGCAATATATAATTTTTAATCTCCTTTATATTATTGTATAATAAGGGGAAAAATATGACATCAGAATAATCCAAAAATGAAAATAGAATAAATCTCAATACAGGTATTAATATTTAATATAGGCGCATTATTTATACGGTGTTGTTTCTCCCATAATCCGTGTCCATCTATGTCTCGCGTGTATATTAATCCTAAACACGATTCATTACCAAATGCTTATTCCCTAACTCCCATCATCTTATCTGTGTCTCCTCCCTCCCCTATATAACCACCCTCCGCCTTGCTCACCTCAAGCACCCACACCTCTCACTCTTTCTCATTTACTCAGCTTCCTCCTCCTCCGCCGCCGTCGTCTCCGACATGACCACTCACATTGACAACCTCTGGTTCTTCCTCTTACCCTCCAAATGCACCCGCGATAACCTCCCCTGCACCCTCTTCCTCCTCCTCCTTCTCTTCCTCGTCGTCTCCCTCTTCCACTGGTCTCACCCCGGCGGTCCTGCCTGGGGCAAGTACTACTCCTGGATCCGAAAGACCAGCCCCGCGATTCCTGGTCCCAGAGGCTTCCCTCTCCTTGGCAGCATCACCCTCATGTCCTCTTCAATCGCCCACCGCCGCATCGCTGCCGCTGCCTTCGCATGCAAAGCCAGGCGCCTCATGGCTTATAGCCTCGGCGACACCCGGGTCATCGTGTCGTGCCACCCCAACGTCGCCAAAGAGATCCTCAACAGCTCCGTCTTCGCTGATCGACCCATCAAGGAATCCGCTTACAGCTTGATGTTCAATAGAGCAATTGGGTTTGCTCCTTACGGAGTCTACTGGCGTACCCTGAGGAGAATCGCCACGAATCATCTCTTCTCTCCCAAGCAGATAAAAGCGTCCGAGTCTTGCAGGTCAGAAATCGCTGCTCAAATGGTGGGGGTGTTTGGAAACGAGGCTAATTATAAAGGCTTTCCGGTTCGGCATGTTCTGAAGAAGGCGTCTCTGAGCCACATGATGAGCTCCGTGTTTGGGAAGTGTTATAGAGTGGACGAGTCAAACTGGGAAATGGAGGAACTAAGCGGCTTAGTGGAAGAAGGCTACGAGTTGTTGGGCACCCTTAACTGGGGGGACCATCTCCCTTGGCTTTCGGATTTGGATGCTCAGCGAATACGGTTCAGGTGCTCCACGCTGGTCCCCAAAGTGAACCGGTTCGTTGGTAAAATCTTAGCCGACCATCGAGCCGAAAAGGACCGAACCAACCGGGATTTTGTTGACGTCTTGCTCTCCCTCCACGGACCCGATCAACTATCCGACTCCGACATGATCGCCGTACTCTGGGTAAACATAAATAAGTTGCTTCTTCAAAATTATTTATTTTGCAAAATATATATATATATTTCCAATAGGAAGTGCAGCTAAATGGATGGAGAACTTTTTCGCAGGAAATGATATTCAGGGGCACTGACACGGTGGCGATTCTGATTGAGTGGATATTAGCAAGGATGGTGCTTCATCCCGACGTGCAGTCAAAGGTTCAAGCGGAGCTTGATCAAGTGGTGGGGAAGTCACGCGCCGTCACCAAGGCTGACGTGGAGACCATGGTCTACTTGCCGGCGGTGGTGAAGGAGGTGTTGAGGCTGCACCCGCCCGGCCCACTGCTCTCGTGGGCTCGCTTAGCCATCAACGATACGACCATTGATGGGTATCATGTGCCCAGGGGGACCACGGCCATGGTGAACATGTGGGCCATAGCACGGGACCCAGATGTGTGGATGGACCCGCTGAAATTTATGCCGGAGAGGTTCGTTTCCGGCGAAGAGGAGGGAGAGTTCTCAATATTCGGTTCGGATCTCAGGCTGGCACCATTCGGGTCAGGCAGAAGAATGTGCCCGGGAAAGTCTTTGGGCTTCGCCACAGTGACCTTCTGGGTGGCTTCGCTTTTGCATGAGTTTCAATGGCTGCCGTCAGAAGAGGCTGAGGTGGATTTATCAGAAGTGCTGAGGCTATCAAGTGAAATGGCCAATCCTCTCATGGTCAAAGTGTGCCCTAGGCGTGGTGGGTCAGGCTAAGCCATCCTTAAAATTAAAACATCATCCGAGCTAAGGGCAGAAAGGAAGAAAAATTAATAAAAAAAAAAAGGGAAGGAGAATTATAAGAGCGTAACGTGGCAGAAAAATATGATTAAGAAATTACAGATTGAAATAATTACGAATGAGCATATTATAAATATGGATACGACGGAAAGGCGTATCTAATATAATTATATGTTTATTCGTAATTAGTTGAATCTATGCATGTTTGAGGTGGTTGGTGAGAGGCGAAGGAGGCAACAACTGATACGATGAAGGAGTGAGGAAGGCGAGATGGTTGGATCAGTATTTGTGTAGTGATGGGTCTTCAACTTTAATTTTCTCTTGCTGTGTTGTTTTTTTTCCTTTCTGTTTTTGGAGTGTAATTTGACGGTAGTCGAGTATGATCAAGTAGTGTCTCAAGTTGTATGTGTTATTATTAGAAGAGGATTAATCTCTTGTCACTGTATATACTGCTAAGTTAATACAAGTCTTTTAATTAGTTTATGTATTTGCGTCACTCTCATCATGCATGTTCTTGTTCCTTTTTAGCTCAAGTCTTGCAAAACATAAAAGGGGGGGAAAAAAACAACAATATGCGGAGCATATTCTTTTGTCTTTTCACACTGTGGGCAGACAGCAAAAAGATTAAGCAGTATATTAAAGGAAAAGAAAAAGGGTAAAAAATTGTCACCAACATGTTATCATCGTATTTGCCTGACATCGTCTTTAAATCAAATTTTATTTTGTAGTGTCTTTTACGAGTGTCTATTAGCTTTTCCTCCTCCTTCATTTGCTAATTTCAAGCTGATATGAGTTTATATAAACTACCTCTAGTCGTAATTATTGACTAATTTGAGAAGATTAAGAAAATAAATTAAGTGAGTTATTTGTAATAAATATATGTTATCTTTCTCAAAATATTCTTGCTAATAAAGTGTATTGATTATTAGAAGAATTATCTTGAAAAAAAAATAAAAGTATGAGAGATAAAATGGATTGATATTTTATATTTAGAACCAAAATAAAAATCAAACGAGATCTTATATTAAGAACTGGAGATAGTATATGTGGGTGTATATCAAGAATTAGTGTATATTGGGTTGAATGTTCAAATCCCACCTTTTGCGTTCAATTCTCTTGGTCTTTATTGTCGGTGAACCAAAAAAGAAAGGGGGGGTTGGGGCCGTAAGAGGAGAAGGGTGGAAGTTACTGGAAAAAGTTTTTTTTTTTAAATAATTTTTCTTCATGTGTACGTAAACATGTTTACATTATGTTTGAGCTTAAGATTTTTTCTGAATGTGGCCGGTAATACTGTTATTGGGATAACTTGCCGTTGACGGTTGGGAAGAGCAGTTGCCTGAAGAAAGGGTCAAGTAGTATATGATCGTTAAGCGTCTGTGTTTGCAACTTGATGTGGCTCCTTGTCTCAGGAAGGAGAAGTCAATTTATAAAATATATTTTGAAGGTGAATGATGTTGGGGAATTTGGCTCTTTATGTAAGATGGGGATCGACACACAGACAGCAACCTTGGCCTCATCTTCATCTCCCCAAAATGTTCTTTGTTCATCTCCCACACTCTGTAGGCGTGGGCCACCGTCACCAGATCCCACCTCCTATGGCATAAAATCTATATATGTTTCCAACGTCTTTTCTTTTGAGAAATTCGATGAATTTAATTCACTGAAGATACATATGCAGATCACATTAATTAACTTTATAACCATCAAGACATATACGCGTGTTTTGATAATATCTATGTCTATAGGCTCGATCTGTTCAATCAATTACTTGTCTGTTTTAATTAATCTTGTCAAATTTGACATGAGTTATTTTTATCATTGCGTCACAGTATTGCGTATCTGGTCTGATTTACACGTAGTTTATTCATTTCCCTCTCTTCTATAAAAATTTGTCAAAAGTCATTCATGTCAAAATTCAAGGCGCAAACCAGCTACGGTTTTAATTTATTACAAGCCACTTATTGAATAACATCACTTTCTTCAGCAGTATCACTGGATTAATAAATACAATATCATCAACATATATAAAATATAAAATCCACATAAACTTGTGTACATCTATGGAGGGACAGGCTTGTTTTTTCCCCAATTTTTTTCTATAAAATATATGTTTACGTATTTGTTCAAATGTATATAATCAATAAGAAATTGAATTAATTATAGAATTGTTCAGTGAAAAGAGTACGAGACATCAGATGCTGGCTAGTAGGTCAAATATGTCCTGGGATTTGTACATATGTATGTGTCTGTTGAAAGATTGGACCACCAATGATCGATATATGTAATTTTAATTCGAAACTCAAAAGTGAGAAGTTCAAGTTAAAGGGCATCTTTTGTCTGTACTCTTTACTCAAAAATTGAGCATACAGAAGGGAATGTTCTCTATTGATTGCCAAACTTTCTCTGAATCTTTCATTTCTGTTTTTAGGCAATTCGAAATGATTCCATCTAAACCAAGTTTTCTCTCATTTCAACGAAATTAGTTAGCATCATCATGAAAGGTAAGAGAAGCCATAAATGATGACTCTGCATGCAAAGGACATTCTAAGCAGCAAGAAGCTTTTTCCACCACAAATATTCAACATATATATAATTATATACCACCTCCGGTTCTAATTATAAGAACTAGTTGACTAATTTGAAGAAATTAAGGAAAGAAGTTAAGTTAGTTATTTGTTGTCTTTTCTAAAATATCCTTGCTAATAATGTGTATTGGCTAGAACTACCATTGTTAGAAGTACTATCTTGAAAAAAAATGTATGAATATTAAAAACAAAATAGATTAAGATCTTATATTTAGGACTAAAATAAAAGTCAAACGAGATCTTACATTAAGGACTAGAGGTAGTATATAGTTATTTCAAAATACTTGCCTTGAATGAGAAACACTCTTACTTATGATCTTAAAGACTAGCTAGGATTAAAATAGGTGCAGCCATGGTCACCTGAAAACATATTAAATATTCCATGTCCCCGCTTTTCTGGAAAACAATATTAATTTTGCCGTGTACAGAATTATAATTCAGAATCATATATATATGGAGGACACGATGCAAATTTGATGTTTCTGCTGTCTGTCTAGATTTGGTTTCTTAATAACCCTCTGGAAAAATTATTGTGAAATACTATAATATAATTTGGCACATGAAAGCTATTTTGCGGTATTTTTAAAAACAACTTTGTTTCAAAATATTTTATTTTTTTCTTATGATAAAAATGCTTACTCAACGCTAGTTTAAGAAATTAAAGGACCGCTTCAGTTTAAACACGTCCCTGTCATACTGCCAAAGAAGCAAGGATTCGACGCTAACATAAATATAAATTATTGTATAAATTTTAAAGGATCACAGTTCAACATTTTAAGATTTAAAAATGTTTTCATGTTGAAGACTCAAAATCATAATATTTTGAACTATAATTTTTATTGCAATATAATTTTAGTTTTTATATAAATCCTATTTTATTTGATTCTTGAAAATAAATAATTTTGAAATTAATTTTTTAGAATAAAGATGTTCAACTCTGGATACTGAATTAATAAATGAATTGTAACATGATCTGTTCACAAGTTATATCACATCGATTTCTTAAGCCTATAAATATAGTGTTTTTCTTTCCTTTTGTTTTAATTTGTTAAATATCAGCAGAGGATTACTAGATCAGCAGTAGCACTGTCATGCTGTCATCAGTATTTGAAAACTAATATATTTACACACACACACACACGCATAGGGTAAAAACTCTGATATAGTAATAAATTGCATTATTTATGAGTTATGAATTATTTTTTAAACCCTGCAGAATACACGTCAACATTAGTTGTAAATTAATAAATATGTGACGAAAGTAACATCTTTCTTCTCTATATATATGCTTCTACTTGCACAAAACAACACACAATATCTTGTTTTGGAACCCATGGTTTTGATCGCTACTGCCTTGCTGATTTTATTTGAAATCTCTGATCTGATTAGAAGGAAGTATCTTCTAATTAAGCCACCAATTAGTGGTGGATAATTGAACAAGTTTAATAACCTTTGATTAGGGTTGCATTAATTAAAAAAGAGGACCACCATAATCCAAATTGCTTTAATTAATGATTCCTAGCGTTGGCTGAGTTTTAGGGTGTATTAAATTGGGTAAACGCTGACATGAACAGCTAGGCCTTACGTGTTGAATGCCTATAAGTTGTTTTTGCCCGTTTGGCTCATGTTATTAAGAAGGCGGTTGAAATAACCCACGACAACGATCTAACAAACAATTCTGACTTTTCTCTTAATTTAGTTACTTACCTTTGACAAAGACTTGCCAACAAATCAATGAGCACATTAAATACTACCTCCGATCCTTAATATAGGACTCTATTTGATTTTTATTTTGGTCATAATATAAGACTCCAATTCACTTTGTCTTTCATATTTATACATTTTTTTCAAAGTAACCCTTCTAATAATAAGAGTTCTAGTCGATACACTTGATTAGCAATGATATTTTAGGAAAGACAATACTTATTTAGGACAAATAACTAACTCAACTTACTTTTTTAATCTCTTTAAATTAGTCAACTGGCTCTTATAATTAGGACCGGAGGTAGTATATACCATCAACGTTATAAGCCCTATTGTCATTATCACATCATGACCCGCACAGTTATTAAGGCTTTGCCCTCTATCTCACTACACAAAGACACTGACCCCTTAAGCAAATCCAAGCGGAAGCAACGGGGAAAGATGGCTTTCATGGCTTCCCATGTTTTGATAAGCGGATAAAACTATGAATATCTCCAAATATTCCGTCCATTTCTCGGTTCATTTCCAGTCTTAATTAATCTTATATACATGTTACTCTTGCATTTGCATGTATTAGCCATTTTGATAACTATGCGTGTGGTAGCTGATTTGTGTTGCTTTCAAGATAATCAGCTTGAAAACTATGTCTGACAAATTATATAGAAAATATTTAACTAGTACTGTGTCCGCACAAGAATCAACTTTTTGGTTGTTTCTCTGGCTAGGTTGCTTGTGAGGCTAAGAAGTAAGAAGCACCGTGTAATGGGATCTGTGACGTTCCTATATTATATATATGAGGCGTTGAGTTAACTATATATCAAGCTCTTTTGTTGGTAAGCGTAGTACGAAAGGGAGCCACATGTATTATGATCACTAAACAAAGTGAAACACGTCTCCAGCAGCAAACATAAAAAAGTATTTTCTTTGCCATTAATTAACAGTGCTAACCTATGGCTGATTACCTTGTGATTTGGTTCGAATAACACTTGCAAACTCATCTCTGAATTATAACATTGCGCTGCTCAACTCTCTTTGTAGTGTGTCTTTGTATGCTGTTAACTAGCGATTTCATATTTTTCTCTTCTCCTTAAATTTAAGATGCGGGCGTGCCTGAGTACTAATTGACTATTTTATGGGCTAAATTATATTTTACTTCTTGAATTTCATAGTTATTAATTAAGTCCACTTAAAAATTGAA